AGACTACGAAATGAATGCACAAAACTGATGAACCAACCGACACACTGTTTGTATATATGTATGGAAGAGAGCTGATGTTTTTATGTTTTGTTTGTTTTTAAAAAATCAATAAAATTGTTTTTTTTTTTAAAGGCCATTTTCAGGCCATTTTGGGCCATTCTTTGCACCAAAAGGGCCCAAAACACGACAAGAAAACGGCCTGTTTTTTGGCCATTTTAAGGCCGTTTGGGGGGGCGTTTTTAGGCCATTTTCAAGCTGTTTTTTTGGGTGTTTATAGGCCATCCTTTGCACCAAAATGGCCCCCAGAACAGCCTGAAAAAGCCCCCAAAGCGGCCCGAAAAGCAGCTCGTTTTGGGGGCTGTTTTCCGGTGCTTTTTCTGGCCAGCACCAGAAACCAGAAAGCAGCTGGCGATGGTGCATGTGCCCACTGAGAGGTCTCTGTGTGCCACCTCTGGCACAGGTGCCATAGGTTCGCCATGACGGACCTAGTGAAATGAAGACTCATCCTGGAATCATGGCCACGAACACTTGCTTTCCTGATGAATCCGGATGTATACACAGTTATACCTTCCCCTCGTTCAAAAAAGAATAGCTAAGCCAGGGATGTCTCCAAATAGGTCAAAAAAGTCAAGATGGCTGCACAACGGTCTGGGTTGAAACTTGGCCTGTTTTTACAGTGCAGTTGAGGGCCTAAGTATCAGAAAGAGCGATGCACCATAAGAGAGGTTGCTATCCTGGCCCCTCTCCCCCAACAGTACTGGCTGGGGGGCTGCTCTTAAAAACTCCCATTTTTAAAAATCTTTAACACCAAACTTGACCTGTCCTTCCAACAAGCTGATAACTGAATGGCTCAACTGAACGTAACCGACAAGGTCCACCCGTAATCTATTTACCTTTCTTTATTGATTAACTGCCCAAAGTTCAGCTACTCAGTAGCCTCAATTCCTTCTCCCAGACCCCCATGAGTCACAAGTATTTGGGGCTATGCGGCAGGTATCTAGCTAAGCAGGTGATGGGTTTTGGTTTGCTTTGGCCTTCTCTGTATTCCTGGCTAATTGTAAATTTACAGGGCAGCATGATAAGGAAAACTGCGACCTAACATGGGCCAGAGCGAGAATTGCATATTTCCTTGCCAATATCTGAATAATCCCAGATGTTACAAGGAGACTAAGCTGGGCGATAAGGAGTGATGAGAAGATTAACACTAATAGTAGTGCAGACTTTGTAAATAGTTGGACAGTGTTGAGCAGAGTGATGGTGTTCAGGGAAAAACTCCCTTTGTGTCTAGTTGTTCTGGTGTGCAGGGCTCTATAGCATCGATTTGAGGGAAGGAGTTGAAACAGTTTATGTCCGGGATGTGAGGGGTCTGTAGATATTTTCACAGCCCTCTTTTTGACTCAGGGTGCAGGATCCAGGTCCTCGATGGAAGGCAGGTGGGTAGTAATTGTTTTTTCTGCAGTCCTAATTCCTCTCTGGAGTCTGTGTCTGTCCTGTAGAACTGGATCAGCAGCTCCTTGGGCATCTGTCTATCTATCTATCTATCTATCTATCTATCTATCTATCTATCTATCTATCTATCTATCTATCTATTTGCCCCCCTCAGAATTTCTAGTTGAAATGGCTACTTGAAGCTGGTTTCTGCAGGTCACACAGACGGAACGGAAACGCCATCCAAGCCTCAATAATGCAAAGGTTAGAGGATTGCAACACGCAGGATATGTTTGGAAATTGCAACTGCCTTGTCGGGCAAAATGGATCAGGATCATACGTTAAGTTAGAAATAGAAATACATACAGATTTATTCAAGCGTATACACAGGAGTCTAGTCGATCAACAGGGCTAAATTGGCACCGATAAGGCTCAACAGAATTCAAGCGATAGTTTGTAGCAACCCAAGGACTCTAAGCTGATGACACATTTAACTCTGTCCCCAGCTCTATTTGTTTTCTCCTACATGCCTTCAGAAAAGGATGTGACATCCGGACCACTTTAGCTAGTAAGCCAAGCATGGCCAGACCAGATTAGTACTTGAATGGGAAATAATGGGACTAGTAGATCAATGGTGGCTAACCTTTTGGGGTTCCTGTGGCAAAAATTGTGTGTGTGTGCTGGCATGTGCGCGCTTGTGTGGCAGCGCCCAGAAGGTAACGTGACCCACCCCAACACCCCCTGCGCTTGCAAGCGAAAATTCCCCCCCCCCATTCCGCCCCCTTATCTGCCTGCACCTCACAGCTGGTTTTCGGTTTGTTTGAGGCCTTTTTCGGCCTCCCAGAGGCTTGAAAAAAACCCTCTGCAGGCTTTGCAGGCCGAATAATAGGCCCGTTTCATCACTTCTGGTATTACAGGAAGTGACGAAACAGGCCTATTATTCGGCCTGCAGAGGCCTTTTTCAAGCCTCTGGGAGGCTGAAAAAGGCCTCAAACCAGTTGTGAGGCGCGTGCGTGTGCAGTGAGGTAAGTTTGCCTGCGGCTCGCATGCTGGCACAAATGGTTCCGCGTGCCACCTGTGCCGTAGGTTCGCCATCACAGTAGTAGTCTTACTAACAAGCTTTTGCTTAAAAATGGCACGATTCACCAAACTGCAGTGATTCGTTTGAAACAACTAAGGCAAAAAAAAGTTGCAAAATGGGGCAAAACTCACTTTTAACAACCGCCTTGCTTAGCAATATAAATGTTGGGCTTAATTATGATCATAGAGGGCTACCTGTACGGCAAAGGGCAGGTTAATGCTTCATGTTAAAGTTTTTGAAATAGGCCTCCTGCGACGCGGGTCAGGTTCCGTGGCAGCAGCGGGCTGCAAAGCTAAAAAAATAAAATAAAAACCCAATCCTTTGAGGGGCTGGATGGCTCAGAACTATGCAACATAAATGAATAAAAAATAAAGAACCTCCCACCCACTCACCCCCTTCATTTATTCAGCTGGGAAGGCGGTTTGCAAAGCATTAAAAATTTTCGCCGACAGCCACAGAGGGTGAGCATTTCCTGTGGCTGTTGTTTTTCCCTCCTCCCCCCCCCCCCCAATGGACGTGCAAAGATGCATCACTTGCTCTCCACGGGGATGAGAGGTAGGGGCTGAGGAGGGATTGTTCTGGAGTTCCCAAAATAGCCCTGTACAAATAGGGGGGGGGGTCAGGAAGCAGAAGAGCGCAGCTTTATTTCAGTGGTCGTTCTGCTTAACGAAGGTTGTAGTATTGGAAGCCTGGTTTACTAAGGCAGAGGTAGCCAAGCCCGGTCTGTGGACAGGCAATGGGCAGCACAATAGAATAGAAATATGAATAGAATAGAAATAGAAATGAAATAGAATATAGAATAGAAATATGAATAGAAATAAAATAGAATATAGAATAGAAATAGAACAGAAATGAAATAAAATATAGAATAGAAATAGAATAGAAATGAAATAAAATAGAATATAGAATAGAAAAGAAAAGAATAGAATACTTTATTGGCCAAGTGATTGGGCACCCAAGGAATTTGTCTTTGGTGCAAATGCTCTCCGTGTCCATAAAAGAAAAGACACATTTGTCAAGAATCATCAGGTGCAACACTTAATGAGAGTCAGAGGGTACAATAAGCAAAGAAAATCATACAAGGAAACAGTCAATATAGATCGTAAGGATACAAGTGATAAAGTTACCATCATACAGTCACAAGTGAGAGGGGATGGGCGATAAGGAGTGATGAGAAGATTAATAGTAATAGTAGTGCAGACTTTGTAAATAGTTGGACAGTGTTGAGGGGATTATTTGCTTGGCAGAGTGATTTGGTATTTGGGAAAAAAACTCCCCTTGTGTCTAGTTATTCTGGTGTGCAGGGCTCTGTAGCGTCATTTTGAGGGTGGGAGTAGAAACAGTTTATGTCCAGGATGTGAGGAGTGTGTAGATATTTTCACAGCCCTCTTTTTGACTCAGGGTGCAGCATGCAGGTCCTCCATGGAAGGCTGGTGGATAGTAATTGTTTTTTCTGCAGTCCTAATTCCTCTCTGGAGTCTGTGTCTGTCCTGTTGGGTTGCAGAACCGAACCAGACCCTTACAGAGGTGCAGAGGACAGACTCCATCCTTCCTCTGTAGAACCGGATCAGCAGCTCCCTGGGCAGTTTGAGCTTCCCGAGTTGGCGCAGAAAGAACATCCTTTCTTTCAATCACCAGGTTCTAGTCCCACTTGAGGCATGAAAGCCAAGCTGGGTGACTTTGAGCCTGTCCCTCTCTCAGCCCAACCCACCTCACGGGGTTGTTGTTGTGGGGAAAATAGGAGGAAGCAGCATTAGCAAAGTTCACCACCTTTGAGTTATTTGTAAAAATAATAAAGGCAGGATATAAGTAATAATTCTCTAATCCATACAGCTAAATGGATTTTTCTGCATGGGGGGGTGCCTCCAGGTTGAAACAAGATAGTACTTCCCAATCTTACAGCTCTAAGGATTCTACATAAGCAAAGAGAAGTTTATAAAGCTAAACACGCTGAAGAATTAGATTACTGCACATCAACGAGCAGGTAGTCCTCAACTTACGACTGGCTGCTTAGTGAACGTTACCAGTTACGATGGACACCCCAAAAGATACTTACAACCCAGATTCAAAGTCCTGACACCTGATCCTGCCAAAGGCAGAGGATTTTGGGAGTTTGGCCACCAGCCCACATTCCTGGCTGTTTGCAGCATCCCAGTCACGGCGGAAACCTTTACATGGGTTTGCTTAATGACCTCCACAAAAAAAAATGGTTGTAAAAACCAGGTCTTAATGGCCAGCATGATTCATGGCTGCAGTTCTAGACTTAATGACAGTCATAAAATCAAGGACTAATTTGTGGATGGAAAACTGTCACCCACTGAGTACACGCAAAACTCTAGCAGGAAGTTGCCATCAACGCGGAACACGGCTTAATTTTAATTGTTTCGGTCAGCAATAAAGAAGAACCCTCTGCTGCCCATTGAAAGGGCGAATTATTTGTGTCGTCCAAAGCTGCCACGGGCTGAAAGGAAAAGGCAGGACAAGACCAAAGTCTACAAAAGTGAAATATACTTTCAATTTTATTTGCAGCACATGTTTAGATTCTGGATGGATACAGCATCTGTGAAAAGAAAAGAAAAATGCTTACCAGACGTAGACAGGAGCAGAACCCTCCGGTAACCATTTTTCAGCCTTTCCTACGACACACACACACACCCCATCTCACCAGCCCAACTGTGACTCTCTGCAGCCCCAGGAAAGGTGTTTTAAGTCCAGGGATGTCAAACTCAAGGCCTGGGGACTGGATCCGGCCCACAGGGTGCTTAGATCTGGCAAAAGACCGGCCTACGGCACCTCTGCTAGCGAAAATGGAGCTCAGGTGTGTGTGTGTGTGTGTGTGTGTGTGTGTGTGTGTGTGTGTGTGCATTTTCACTGGCAGAGGGCTAGAAAAACAAACTAAAAGCAAAAGGGAGAAATGCTTCTCCTTTTGCTTTTTGAGCATCCAAGAAGGGACAGGAAAAAAGGAAGGGAAAGAGGGAAGACCAAGAAAAAGATGGGGAAAGAGCAAGGAAGGAAAAAGAAGGAAAGAGGGGAAGGAAGAAGAAAGGAGGATGGAGTGGGAAGGAAAAAGAGGAAAAGGAAGGAGAATGAAGAGGGGAGGAAAAAGAAGAGAAGGAAGGGAAAGACGAAGGAAAAGAAGGGAAGAGAGCAAGGAAGGAAAAAGAAGAGGGGAAGGAAGGAGAGAGGAGAATGGAGTGGGGAGGAAAAAGAGGAAAAGGGAGGAAGGAAGGAAGGAAGGAAGGAAGGAAGGAAGACGAGTTCAGTGTTACGCCCACCCTGGCCCTGCCTCCGGTCACACCCACCATGGCACACCCTAGCCACGCCCCTCTCTCCCCCCCCTTCCCTCCAAGGTCAAACACAACCCTGATGCGCCCCTGGATGGAATCGAGTTTGACACCCCTGTTTTAGCCAAACACAGGATGCAATTTAGTGCCCTTGCACTGAATTTAAAAAAAAAAGAATAAAAATCAGATTCATGATATTTGCAGGGTTTTGTTTCTTTTTAAGAACCCTCAAACCAGATTTCAAAGCCACACCCCCACCCCCGGCCTGAAGGCGCTCTCATCCTCACCACTCGGATCCGGTGTCCAATGGCTTTGGCAGGCAGGTTGGAGCGGAATTTGGCTCGCACCATGCCGCTGTTTCCGTGGGCGCGGGTCACCTTCCCCCAGATGACCCTGGTCCTGTTGGGCTTCCCGCCAGGAGTCACCGTGTTGCTGGCCAAAC